GGGTTGGACATTCCATTTCTTGACCCATACCAAATTTCCTGGCCTAAAGGAATGGGCCTCAGTAGTCAGATTAACAGGCAGCCTTTCCCTAATCCAGTGGTTGAGAGCCTGCAAAGTAGCACCCAGGGTTTGTAACTGCTGTCTGAGTCAATTCACCTATTTCCTTTAAGTCTCCTCGTATTCCCTTGATGAGCAGGAGTGGTTGCCCATAAAGGATCTCGTAGGAGGAGAACCCAGTCTTCTTGGTTGGGGCCAACCTGATTCTTAATAGTGCCCTTCTCAGTCCACGTCGGGTAAGCCTCTACCCAACTGGAATATGAGCACACAAAGACCAAGACTTACTTATGGCCCCAGGATCAGGGCATATCAGTAAAGTCTACTTCCAGGTCCTCAAAAGGTGTTCCTCCCACACTCTGGACTCCAGGAGGGGCCCGTGGCCCATCATGGGTTGTTTCAAGCATATACCTCATATCGTTCACACACTACTCGAGAGAAATACCGGCCCAATGTGGTTTCAAGAGCTGTTTGGCCGATATGGGTCCTCTGATGGAATTGTCTGACAAAGGCTGGGCTAGGGCCTCAGAAGTTGCTATTTGCGCATCTTCAGACTTCCACCATCCACTAGGGAGGTAACTCTCATTTTCAGTCTTAAACCATCCTCATGCTGTGAAGGGACTGGGAACAGGGTGGCAGTCAGAGTTGTTGGTTCTGTTACCCTCTCGGAGGCCACGAGCTCTGCTTCACGATCCACTTTGCAGTTTCCTTGAGCAGTCACATGTCTTTTTGATGTCCCCAGCAATGCATGACTGCCACCCTCTTAGGGGGCCATACAGCATCTAGGAGCTCAAGGATCTCCTTTCCATATTTTATGTCTTTTCCCCAAGTTGATTAGGCCTTTTTCTTTATATAAGGCCCCACATACTCCTGCTGCTAGCTGGAGGGCTTGAGTCAGTGCAATGAGCTCTGCTTTGTGGGCTGAGGTTCCTCTAGGCAGAGATTTTGCCTCAATGGTGGAATGTAGGGTAACCAGAGCATATCCTGCATCCATGACTTCAATGCAATCGTGGAACTCGCAAACCTGGCATCGGGTAGATGGAATGGGTATCAAGCAGACAACCTGTTTTCTTTCCAGGCTGACTTGGTGTTGCCCCTGAGATACGTGGAAGCCAAGGTAAACCTTATAGCCAGCTTCCCATAAGAGGGTGAGGAGCATTTGTGCTCCCTCCATACATTCTTGTGTTTACCCTGCCAGCAGTAGATCATCTACATACTGGAGCAGAACACAGCCATTCTGGTCCACTCAGAAAGCTTTTAGGTCAGAAACTAGTGCTGTTCCGAAAATGGTTGGAGAGTTTTTAAAACCTTGAGGCAATCTAGTCCAAGTTATCTGGCCATTCTCAGGATTTTCCCACTAAAAGGTGAAGATCGGCTGGCTCTAAGGGGCCAGGCGTATGCAGAAAAAGGCATCCTTAAGATCCAGACATGAGAAGAAGGTTGCATCTGTGGGGATGAGTCCCAGGAGGGTGTACAGGTTGGGGATGACTGGGTGCAGGATGACCGATAATCGTCGGTCCCTGGTTTTTGGACCAGTAGGAGAGGCATATTCCATGGTGACTGGCATAGCCGAAGGATCCCATACTTAATGAGCTCTCCAGTTTCTGGGGCCTTGGGTGGTGGTCGTGTCGGCTGGTACCATCCTCGGAACACTTGGCCTCTTCCTCTTGAGCTTGGAGCAGGCTGGTAACTCCCCAACTGTTAGGGGCTCTTGTTTTTCCAGTGACCCTTTTGGTGGCACTGAGCACACTGGTCCCGCCCCAACCTCATTTCTGAGTAGGGTAGTTCTTCTGGTGGCCTTCTCCTCTGGCCCCATCCCCAGCCTGTTGGGTCACCTCTCCGGGAGTGTCCTGAGTAGCAGAGAGCAGATCTACTTACTTTCTCACTTTTCGGTCTGCTTCCCATTGGGCTTCTTGGTCTCAGTTGACAAACACTTTCGTTGCCACCTCTAACAACTGATTGGTGTTCATACCAGCAAAGCCCTCCAATTTTTGCAGTTTGCGCCAGATGTCTCCCTGGGCCTGACTGACAAAAGCTGCATTAACCATCCTCTGGTTTTTGGCTGCTTCTGGGTCAAAGGGGTTGTAAAAGTGAAATGCCTCACGTAGCCTCTCAGAATTGGCTTGGGCTTTCCTCGGGTCCCTGGACTATCTCCGAGACCTTACTCATATTCATGGCTTTCTTCCTTCCTTCTTTTAGACCACCAAGGAGGGCCCCCTGATAGCGTTCGAGCATCTGGAGTCCCCTGTCCTCATTGGGGTCTCATTAGGGGACCTCCGCAGGGAACTGCTTTGGGGCAGTTTAAGGTCCCTGCTGGGGTATGTTCCTCTATCCACTTTAAAGCAGCCTGAGTGACTTGCCGGCGTTCCTCTGTAGGGTCAGGAGCTGCTGGCGGCAATTGGCCCAGGTGGGCTTATCATGGCCTGAGCTTCTCTGTGAAGGAAGCAATATGATTTTTCATAGTATATAGGGCCCTGTGTTTCATGCAGGGGTAATTGGAGGGCTTCTCTTGTAGAAACTGCTGCTTTTGGTTGGGTTCCGGTTGGGCCATAGGGAGTCAGGACAGGGGATGGCAGAGAATCTACAGAGGTCAACGAGGACGGGATGTCAGTGGATCCCAGGCTGTTTTCAAGCGGACTTGGAGACAAGGGTTCCGGGAAGGTAGCCAGCTGTTCTGGGGCCCTTGGTAAGCGTGGATAAATGGGAGCATATGGAGGTGGGGTATCCTCTGGCTCACTTGGCAAGATTGGTTTCTTTTCTTTAGGTCGGCATTTGGAGGTTGCAGTGGCCCAGGCCGGCATTACTCTGCAATTCTTTTCTAGACAGGCTCTCAACCAACGGGGTCGGGTCAGGACCACAGCCTGCCAACTATAAGGAAATTAATCTGAATGGCAGGGATTCCCTGCAATAACCTGATAGACCCTGGCTATGACTGCCTTATCCAGGGAACCTTCTGATGGCCACCCCACATCAAATGAGGGCCAGTCTAGCTCACAAAAAGTACGACGTTTCTGGGGGGTGGGCTTCACACCAAAATCTCTTCAAAAGCCTTCCTTAAAATTCTTTATCATACATCCTAAGAGGGTCTGCTTACTCTCTTGTCCACCCATATTCCACCCATGTGACAGTGATGCACATGCGTTTAGGGACTCACCTCGTCCGTCTCTGGCTGCTCCCCCCTTGCAGGGATATTTCAGGCACCTCTTAGCAATTGGTGTGTCAGTATAAACTCCAACTCAGAACACTGGAGTAGATTCCTCTCGGAGATCTGGTGATACCACCCTAAGCCGTATGAGGTTCGCCGCCGAACCGCAGATGAGGGCTCAACCCTCACTTTGCGGCAAGGCCACATCTCATTCACACTGAAGCACTCATCATTCACACATCACCCTCCGCCCAAATAAACCTGAGAGATCATAGTTTCATCTCCCTCCAGAGACTACTCAGATAACTTTGGGAGCTGATCAGACTCCCCTTCTGCCTCTTTAGGAGCAGGTCAGAAACCTAGACCTGGGTCCTCTCCAGTCTGTTGGGCAGTTCTCCTGCGCTGGTTCCTGCGCCTCACCAGGTTCTGTTGTGCTCTCAGAGCTGCCATCCCGGCCTGCTGGAAGTCGTTTTCGCCTATGGACAACAGGTCCACTGTTGCCAGGTGGAGTCCACTTCTCCGAGTCCCGGTGGCCAAACCCCAATGACAAAGGAGGTGAAAACTCGCCATCTCTGGTCCTGGACAAGTCCCCAGAAATATTGCAGGATACTCAGAGAGACGGGACACTGAGGCAATAAGCAGGAAGTAGCGTTTATTGGTGCTGGCATTGGCTCAGCAGATTCACATCCAAAGGCTTAGCCCTGATCGAAGAGGGGCTTTCCCTTTTATACGCATCTTATACTTCCTCATAGTTACAGACTTGCAAGTTCTTTCTATGTAAGAAAAGTGTATTTTGATTCATTGGCAGGCCATAGAGGAAGTGAATAATTTTCAACCGTCCCAGTCCTAGGAAGCATCCTAGGAAACTGTTAGTTCGGGCCTCGCTACCACACCACATTGTCTTGATTACTGTTGCTTTGAAGATTTCAAAATAGGGATGTCTCCAACTTGGCAAACATTCTCTGAATACTAGATGTTACCCCCATTTTACAAATGAGGAAACTGAGGAAACTTAAGTTTAGCTTTCCCACGGACACAAAAATATTTGGTGGTTGCCCCAGGGTTCATACTCAAATCTATATAAATCTAAAGCTGACCAGTTGGCTATGCTCCTTCTATAATCTAGTCCCAATCTACCTCCCAGACTTAATTTATGCTAATCTCCCAATGTACCCTAAAACATCTCCTATGCTTTTCTGCCTCCAAACTTCTGCTCCTATTGTTCTAAGGATCTGAAATGCTCTGCCCTCCATCTGTTTCATAAAATTCTAATTCACAAAACCTTCACTTTCACTTAGTAAAGTGATCCCTCTTTTCACTCTTTTTCCTCAGTATTATGAGCCTCTCTCATGGTTCTTATTCCACATTATATCTTGTAATAAAGCTATTTATGTATATGTGTTATTTCCCTTCCTAGGTTAAGGATGAGGACCATGTCTCATTCAACTTTGTATCTCTCCAAAGCCCTAATACAGTACCTTTCACATGGTGGGTACTAACTTAATATTTTGAATGAATAAGTGAATTCTAACATTACCTCTATTAGAGTGGGCAATAAGAATGTATAGGTATGTGTTAGGATTGGGGGTGGGGCTTTGAGGTCGTAGCAAGGTTATAGGAATATCTATCTTAATCCAGAGAGTGTGATGAGAAGGACAAGTGAGACAGGGTGTGGTAGGGTGTCAGCCCAAACAGAAAGCTGATGTTAATCACTCTTTTGACAACAGAGAAACCTCCAATTGTGAGGTATTGTGTGTAGACAAGTAATATTTGCCAATGAATAGGAAATAAAGCAAGTGACTTAATAAGCCCCAAACTGAGTTTATTGTGGTATAGATCAGGTGATAACAAGTAACTCCAATATATTCAAGTAAAGTCTGATATAACCTAGAATATGTAAAATACAACACCAGGGCAAAAAGCTGCTCTAAGGTTAGCAAGTCCCCAACAGAAAATAGGAAAATGAGACATTTATCTCTTAAAAACAGCATGCCAATCCTCACAACCCCCTTTCCATGTTCCCAACCACTTCTCTGATTTGCCCATTCTTGCACCATTTCAAGTCATTAACACCTCGCCATTTCTTAGCCCAAATTACTGGATAAGGAGTTTTTTTCAGAATAAGGTACCATTCTTCTCAGCGCCATATGGTTCAAGTCAAAAGGTATAATTTTATCACAAAGGAAACTGTTAGGGACTCCAGGCTGTGGAAAGACTGATACCAAAGGCTCTTGCCATGCATTAAATATAGTATCCTGTCTCTAGAAGATACCTCTGGCTAAGATCACAGAAATGAGTCGCATCATAAAGGAGCTCCTATTCAGCTTAGAATCTTTACCTGGACAAGTGAATGTGAGTTTCACAGTTGACAATAAAAAGACATGGCATCAGCAAAGTAATTTCATCACTACCTCCCTCTTTTCTAGACATCCAGTCAGATGTCTAGACAGCCCAGCTATTTAAACACCACCATCTACTTTCTCTTCCAATTGCCTCTTATCCAGCTGGCAGGAGCTTCCCAGAAACATGATATAGTAGGCACTACAGTATACTGGCTGCTTGTTAGGGTTGGAATAGACCTGTTCAGGTTTGAGAGACATGAAAGGGTTAGCTCCATAAGCAGTGATGTGTATATCCAGGTCCACCAGAATCTGCAAAGAGGCTGCCAACTCCTGACGGCTGTGAGAGACAGATAAGAAAAATTGCTGTGGTAATTATGAGAGAGCAAGGAGAGAAATTGCTCAGAACTCAACATTTCTAAACTCATCAAGCCCAAAAATTACCTAAGGCTGGACAAGACAAGGGCTATCCCTCCCTCCCAAACGTTTCACTAATTATCTGATTAACCAACATAGACCTCTGTTACAAGGAGATGAGAAAGCCAAATGTGGGAAGAAAGAAAATCCTCATCAGAAAGCAAAAGATGAGCAAGGGGGAGAGAAATAAGCTCAACTATATAATGAGACATATGAGCGAATCAGGGAGGTATCACAAAAAGGTTAAAACCTGTAAACAGTGATCAATGTTGGGATCTCATAATCACGAAGTAGCAGAAGGGTGGGCAGCCAAGCCTCCATCAAATCTGGGGAAGCATGGAAACCTATAGAAGAAAAATTGAGAAGGAAAAAGAATGACATGAGAGTAGAGAGGGGAAATGCTAAGATAGACCCCAAGAGAGGGATTTCTTTGATTATGTCCACCCAAACCCTCGCCTTGCTCACTGCTCATGCTCATTTACCACTATCACCCACTCCAGGTTCTTCACTGAAAAATTCTGAACCCGGATGTTGCACATAGGGCTAATTAATGATCAGCAAGGTCATCATTATATTGTGTTTAACCTGACAAAATGAATGGGGTTCCAAAGATAGAAGATCCAAGAGAGAGAATGGAAAATTCCCAGAGGACACACCCAGTATTCCCCTGGACCAATGACTTACCTGGGTGGAATGCTACTACCATATCTGGATGGGCGGTCTGCCCAGTCTCTACCTGCTCCTCCCAGAAGTTGTGATAGAGGCCTTTATGGCCACTAAGCTGAACTGTGCCGGGTTCCAAGGGTGAACTTGAGGTACTCTCTGAAAAGCCAGCAGCTACATCTACACCCACCATGATTATACGGAGGCCAAGGTGTCCGGGAAACATGTAACCAAGCTCATCATAGTCCCCAGGGCGAGTGAGGAATGTCTCCACATGGGAAGCACCAACTACATGCAGTGTGCTTCCTCCAATCTTCTTAACATTTATCCCCAAGGCCCGAAGCCCAAGGCCCAGCGTCAAGGGCCGTGACAGGACATCTGTTAGCAGCCGCTTCAAAGAGCCCTGCAGGACATCTAGGTCTGGCCTTGGCCGTCCTACACTGGCCCACAAGGTGGTCATGGCATGACTACCCAGCACAGCATCCAATGTAGCATCTAGCTGTAAACGCCGCATAGAAAACCAGGTGTCCCAGCCCTGCACAACTTCAGTCAGCTGTGGCCAAGGTCCTGAGGGTAGGACAAAATCACCTGCAGGAAAGAAGGAATAAGAAGTGACCTAATTCTTCCTCGGTTTCACTATTCCCTCTATGTTCACTCTCCCAACCTGAGAACA